TTTGATAAATAAATTTGTTCTTAAAGAGTTTTGTCCTCTAGCCAATTAAGTTTTTAAAACTTTATCATTTATTCAAAGAATTTCTGTTAGTTTATACATATATATATATATATATATATATATATATATATATATATATATATATATATATATATATATATATATATATGTATATATATATATATCCATTGACTGTACTTGAAAATCTTGTCCTTTTGCTGGATATTATGTTTTTTTTATTCCTCTTTAATGTGACCTAAGACATCAATCACTAAACTATCTTAGCTTGGTTCAAAATAATGATTTAGAAATTTGAAGATTTTCAGAACACTCTATATTCAATTATGTTTTAGTCGGCCGAACAAAAGCCAAAGTGAATTACGATTAGCCGACAATTGTTTTAATAGATTTTCTGTTTATACGTTAATTTTGCAGATACAAATGTTTAAGTAAATGCTCTGTTTATAATAAACAGTATTAATTGCATTTACCGGCCTTATTTTCGGTTTATTTTTGTATTTGCAGTCTCCTCATCTCAATGTACAGGGTATCCATAAAGTTCGTGTGCACTTTAAAAAATTTATAACTTTATTTGTATTTGCGATAGAAATAATCTGTATAAAATGTTATAAAGTTTAATGTACCTAGTTTTAAGTATAGATAAAATAACTAATGTGATTTCAGGCATTACTGTAAATCAGTTGGCAAATGTTTTCCGCGAACTGCAAAATCGTATTACCCTTTGTATTGTTAATGATGGAGGACATGTGGAAACTTAAATAAGATTTCAATAAAACTTTACAAAATATAAATTGGCTTCTTTCTAATCCTTTTTACAAATTATTTCTATCGCAAATACAAATAAAGTTATAATTTTTTTAAAGTGCACACGAACTCTATGGACACCCTGTATTTGGTAGCCTTGATAATATCAGTTTAGTTCTATTCTAGTCTGGTTTGTTTTACGGTATATCAACCTCAATCTGGTATTTAATGCCGACAATTTTTTTTATTGCTGGTAGTATTTTCCCTTCAAAAATCTATTTTAGGTCATAATTTTTTCTTCAAACATGTATAGTTAGTAATATTTTTTTTTCAAAAATGTATTGCTAGTAATATTTTTTACAAAGTATTTCTGGTATTAAAACCTGTTTTTACATTTTCATAGTGTTTTGACCCCAGTTTTGTGGTTAACTATTTGCTTATATCTGGGATCCTAACAGCTGCTACCACCCCAGGTTAATGTGGACCTAGAAACACCAGCAGTTAAGAGGTGGTTCCACGCTACTCAAAACCTCCTGATCAGAGACCTTGCTGTTGGAAGTGGTTTATCGTCTTACCTAGGACGCAGATGTAGTTTATCGTCATACCCAGTGCGGCATCAGTCTAGGAGAGACATGCTATACCGATGGGAAGTTTCAGAAAACCATACACGGTTTGACTCTAGCCACGATAATATAGATAGTTGTGATAGGATTGTGACAGAGGTTTTAGGCATAATTGCCTTGTTCAAATAATGACTACGTCAGATTAAGCGTTCTATCCATGTTACTGTAACTAAGATGAGCTCAGTATTGTTGCAATAGAAACCAGGAATACGTGTTGAAAATACACAAATGTGTCTGACAGTGACTTGCTATCCCTCCCTAGTAGACTACATTGAAAAGGAATCCGAGCAATGATGAGGGTGATAGAATTAATCAGTAGCGATTACAAGCATTATTATTATATTTCAAAACAATTTTATTTTTCTTAACTTCACATCCATAATATTTCTTTTTAATATGACATAGTCTCTTTTGGTCGATTATCTTGTGTCAGCATTAAACATGCAAACAGATTAAACCGAAACGAGAATCGTGAATGAATGAAACAGAACGTGCCCGATTCGATCACGAACTCACAATTGTCGGAATAAAATGGAAAAGTAGTTGCACGAGTTCATCGCGCTGCTAACGAGTCGAGAGAGATGCGATCGAATTGGTTGATCGGCGGGCGAGCAGCACACGTGCACAGACCTTCAACCTTGGTGGTCGTCGGGCATGTCTCCATGCGGGCAGATGTCGATCGGGCTGCCACGAAAGAGCGTGCACTGGCTGCAATTGCGTGGCACGCTCCAGCCTTTTCTTCCTTCTGCCCCACTAGTTCGCTTCTCCGCTGGGCAAACGTGCACCGCATCTGTTTGCGACATCGGATTGCAAAGCGAATATTATCGAAAAATCTCGTCAAACATTTCCAAAAATGAAACGAACCTACCTTTCTGCCTATAGATGGGGACAAATTAAATTATCATAGACGTTTCACCCTTTTTGTCCTCTATTAATTATGTCATTTTTTTTTAGATCCCAGTAATTTGATTGAAACCATATACAGCTTCAGGTTCTGATTTTAATGATAATGTATTTAAGTATCTACACCCTGTTTACATATTTTCTTAGAGATTCCTGCATGCGTGTTTATGCAATTAGACAGACAGAAATATATATTTTACTTCTATCTTAACTGTATATAAATTCCTATATTTGTTTCTATTAAATAAATTCATAATATTTGTCTCTTCGTGTATGTAAATATCTTAAAAATGCGCAGTGATATATGTTCACCGATTTTCATATTCCTTTCTGCAACATATAATTTGTTTATTTTTACGCATCCAAATGCGCATGAATAGAAAAAAAGTTCAGTCTTATTTATATAGAGAACACTCTCTCTCACTCTCTCTAGATAACTATACAACATTAATGTGTCAGTGTTTTTAGATTATATGAAGTATGCGTTTTTATATAACTTTCCTCCTGAAATAAAAGGAGACATTCTCGCACGCGCAAACATTAATTTACAACATTTTCTTTATTTTTCATTCTTAGATAGTCCTAAATTTATTTTACCTTTGAATACGTATTTTCTTCCTTTTTTCTTTTTTCATTCACATTTTCTATCACATGTCAACGCATGAAAAAATACTTCTATCCTATTTTCTATATTTGACTTGTTTATTGGAAAAGGATGAACAAGAAGAAATACAAACATTGTTAGATTTGGACTTTCGTTTATTTCTCACATTTCGGTATGAATTTTTTGTCTTTTATTTTCGGGTTTGTTTTTATTTCTTAGGTTTTACTAATTTATAACTTGTCTCGTTTCGTTTCATTCTGCTTCCGTCCAAAAGCAAATTGGTATACGACTATTTCTGGTTTTCATGCAGCTAACTAAACCTTTTAATACACTTTCTCATTTGGCGTAAACATTCATACATTTATTTTTATTTTTTTTTATTTTCATATTTTTTATCTTTTATTATTTATCTTTTATTTTTATCTATTATTTTTTATCTCTCATTTTTTTCTTTTTTCTCTTTTTTCTTTTATCTTTTTATCGTTTATTTATTTTATCTTTTATTTTTATCTTTCATGTTTTTTATCTCTTAAATTTTTTATCTTTTTTATCTTTTAATTATTTATTTTTTTATCTTTTTCTTTTGACCTTCTGTCTTTTTCTAACTTTTTTATCTTTTGCCTTTATATTTTTCTTTCTAATCTTTTCTCTTTCTCATCTTTTTGTGTCTCATCTTTTTTCTTTACTTTTTAATTCTTTTTTCTTTTCATTTTTTTCTTTTATCTGATTATTTTCTCTGTTTATTTTTATTCTGTTTATTTTTCCTTTTTTGTCTACATTGTTGTTGAAGTTTGTGACCACTTTTATTGGATTCTGTGTAGTCAATGACCGCATAGGAATCTTCATGTCAACAATGCAAACACTCTCAGTAGCTGAGAATGGATAATAGATGACATAATTCAATTAAAAGTAAAAAAAATATGTTTATTGACAGGAAATATTTTAAGTAAAAAAGAAATTGCGTTTTTAGCATGTACTTATTTATTTATTTAAGGCTAAACCATTATTTTCAATTAATGCTATTATATTTTTATATTTTCTGTAAACTTATGAAAACATTAATCGTGAATTTTCCACAAAAATTATGAAAGTAAGAAAAAATATTCATTTTCAAAAGAGACATATTCTACAAGAAAATCATTACAGAACCTTTCATAATATTTTGAAAGTTACTTCTTGGAAATATATTTTCAAAACAAAATAAATGTTCTAAAAACAAAATATTTTGACGAAATAAATCCAAATGAAAAATTTTTACCAAATTGTTTCAAAAATGCACACAAACATATGAAATGAAACAATTTTAAGAGAAAAGCATTTTTTTTCTGGTTTTAAACAATAATGGGGGCATAGCTTATGGTGGACATGCTCAACTACACTATCCAGAAAAATAGTTGCAAAATGCACGTCTGATTTTAAAACAAATTTTTTTTGGTTTTAAAAGATCAATGTCAACGTGTATTTTTTATGCAGGTTCAATGAAAAGAGGATTTCGTAATATTGCACAATAAGGCTCGTTTGGTGAAGCACTTTATTACACACCCCAACTTATTAGAAGTCTAACATATACAGCATACTACATAGATACACACACGCATATATATATATATATATATATATATATATATATATATATATATGTGTGTGTGTGTGTGTGTGTGTGTGTGTGTGTATATAAAATTTCTCAGAGTTAACCTGTAGAAAAAGACAATATTACAGTTTTCCTATTGTCTTTTGCACTTATATATATATATATATATATATATATATATACATATATATATATATATATATATATATATATATATATATATATATATATATATATATATATATATATATATATATACATATATATATAATATATATATATATATGAAAAAAAAATATATATATGAAAAATATTTTTTAATAAATATGGGTTAAAGGTCTAGTATATCCACCATGGTACATAGATGCACAAACACACACACACGCACACACACACAGATATATGTATGTATGTATGTTTATATATATATATAAATATATATATAAATATATATATATATATATATATATATATATATATAATGTTGATACTATGCAATGTTGATACCTACATC